GTCTGTGTAGACGTGAAGGCAGCTGGCAGGGCCTAGAGATTGGGGCTGTGTAATTTGGGATCAGCACCAACTGTTTTTTTCTTCAGGTTTTTGCCATAGGTGCATGTGCTCCTTGGAGCGAGAGAAGGAGGGGAAGTAAGAGTCACCCCCGAGCGGGCTGGCCGTGCTGCAATCCCTTCTCCCCCATTCGGTCCTCAGGATGGTGGGCACCCAAACATGGTGCACCCAGTGTGTTTTTCAAGCCGTTGGGTCTGAGACTCAAACTGCTGAGTCAGCCACGTGAAATCCTGCACCTTGGGCCAGCAGATGGCATGGTGGTTAAGGTGCTGAAATTCCCACATGGCTGGGCATGGTTTGAGTCCTGGACCTGGCGGCTTTCTCTCTCTCTCTCTCTCTCTCTCTCTCTCTGGCAAAACTCATGTGCAAAATAATATTAACAATAATAATAAATAAATAATTCTAAAAAAAAAAAAAAAATCCTGCCCCTTAACCACCACACCACCTGCTGACCAGCACCCACTTTTTTTAAAGTTTGTATCTTCCATGAAAGAGAGAAAGAGAAGACAGCACCTCAGTAGGGTCCCACGCTACAGCCCCCACCCCCACCCCCACCGCGCACAGGTCAGCCGGGGGACTGAACCTGCGGACTCCTGCACAGACCCAGCATCGCTTCAGCAGCACGTGACTCTGAGCCATCGAGCTGGCCTCGTTCTTCCTCTTTCTTTCTCTTTCTCTCTCTCTCTTTCTTTTTAAAGTTTCTGTCATGAGAGTAAGAAACAGAAAGATTGAGCACCAAGTTTAAAACATCATTATTTCTCTGACCGGTGGCCTCTTGGGCTCCTGTGTTGACCCCCCACTCAAGTGTCCCTACTTTGTACAGGTGAACGGGGGACCCGGACATGCTTGTCTTGTACATGAAGCAGGGTCAGGTGGGGCTGGAGCCTTTCTTCCGTCAGCACTGCATGACGTGGGGTTGGGACGAGAAACCAGCCAGGCAGGTGAGGGACGCGGCTCCCCTCAGTGCTGTGTGACGTGGGGTTGGGGCCTGAGGGCAGGGAGGCAGGTGGGGGCACCTCTCCCCTCAGCAGGTCCGAGCCGAGTTCCTGATTTAAAGACCCAACCTCAGGAGGAGCACAGCGTCTGTCTCGCAGTCCCACAGCTGGGCCACTGGCTGGTGGGGCCGCCCCGGGCCCCTCTGAAGACAGTGTGGGCTCCAGCTAGTGACCGAGGCCGGCCTAGTGAGCAGGTACTGCCGGCCCTCAGCCAAGCACATGCCATCCAGGGAACCCTCCTGCACAGCCCACACCAGCCCTGGGAGGCTCCCAGGCCCTTCCCCACGTCTTCCAGTCTCTGGTTCTAAAGAGTAGGTTTCCTTCCTGTCCCTGTGACAGCGCTGGCGTTTAGAGTAGGGGCCGTCTTCGTTCCTTGCTCTCCTGGCGCTCAGGCCTCGTTTCTGGCAGAGGCTGAGACACGGGGCTGATCCCTGCCGTCCCCACTCTCGATGCCTGTGCGGGGTTCAGCTCCTTCCTGGGGGTGGAGGGCGCTGTGCTCAGTGCTCCTGGAGCACACCCCGCCAGGCTCCCACCTCTGGCCTGGAGAGAATGCACCTCTATGGCTCAAAGCCGCCAGTTGGCGCTCACTTGTTACAGCAGCCGCGGGATCCTGACACAGCGAGGAAGGAGCCGAGGTTGCTAGAGGCCAGAGCCTGAGTGGCCAGAGCGGTCGTGCACTTGCTCTGACAGGCCAGCGGGCACACAGGCAGCCTGCTGGGCTGTGGGCTCCGGAACGTTCTCAGACGGCCGTGGCCAAGCCCTGCCCGCAGTGCCTTGGGAACATGAGCTGCCTTGTCTCCATCCAGACGCAGCCGGAGCTGCCATGGGGCCCCCAGTGCACATCTGAGCGCTGACCCAGAAACAGAGAGACTCGCACGGCCCCGTTTGCACCCTCGCTGGTCTGTCTCGGACTCCATTCCCAGTGACCGGTTTGAAGACTTCATTAGAAATCAAGGAGTTGTACTTTCTTTTTCTTTCTTTCTTCCTCTTAAGAAATGCCTTTGGCTGCAGCCGCTGGTGTCCGTGCCTCCTGTCATGAGTCGGGCACAAGAGTCCTTGAACAGAGACCGAGTTGGAACTGATCAATGGCATTTGGGGGCGGAGCACACCTCAGGCTAATTTATAATGTCGTACGGGCTAGACTGGGGGACCCAAGAGGATAGGCTGTCTCTGGGCTTTTCATTTCTTCGTTTTTAAAAAGCAAAGGGAAACATCAGCCCCGCGTTTGGTTATTGAGTATTCAGAGGTGGACTCAGTCCCTGCCAGGCCATTGGGACCAGGGGCTGTCCCTTCTCCTGCCCCCATTTCTTCCCAAAGACCTCGCAGCCACACCGTGGCATGCCAGCATGCGCCACCACTCCTGTCCTCTGTCCTCTGTCACTCTGGATGCCTGCCCCTGCAGTTGCTGAGTCCTGGCTCTAACTCATTTGCAGAGGACACCTGTTCCTTAATTAAGCCCCGCTCCTGAGCTGCGTCTTCATCTGGGCTCCCTCTGACGTGGGAGCTGGCGGCCCCACAGAAGGGCTGCTGTTTGGCAGTCTGTGTGTCTGCCGTGTCCGAGTGGGCCTTGAACCTTCCTGGGTGGCGTGGTTGGTCTGTGCTCCCAAAGCCACATCTCTGCCACCCTCCAGCTGTGAGAGTCACAGCTGCAGGCAGATTTTTCAAAAAAGCCTTTCACTGCCTATCACCACTCTGAGAACAGAGTGGCGTGGACCCTCACTCTGACGCCTCTGGGATCATATTCTCCGTCACGCGTTTGGCATCCCACATGGACACCTCACTCTGCCTGTGGAGTGTGTCTGCTGGGTCTGTCTGAACAGGGATGCCCTTGGGGCTGGGATTCCGTCCTCCAGGGTCTTACGGGGTGCGTGCTGCATCATGACAGCGTATCCACCTTGGAGGAGGGTGAGCGTGAACTCATCTGAGAACGGGCTCCCGGGGGACAAGCCAGGGCAACCTGCAGGCACAAAATTCTCTGCCCACCAGACCTGCCACCCTCTGTTTTATGCAGTGGAACCTTCTAAAAACCAGTCTTCAGGCTTCAGAGATCTGACTCCCCTCTGAGCCACCTCTGGAGGTTTCTGGCACCTACCACCAGAGGCAGTGCAGGTCAGAGGTGACCCACCTTGGCACCCGGCACACGGGAGCCCTGATCCCGCAGGCCACGGTCACTTGGAAACACGGTGGCAGGCGGCTGTGTTTGTCCTCCTACCTGGCGTCTCTCTCACCATCAGTGGAAAGTTCCCCTGAGTGGTAATTTTCCTAAACGACGTGCCGGCGTGCTGCATACAGGCTGCCCCAGGAGCCGCCGACTGCATGCCCCGTCCCCGGCTCCTCTCCTGGGCCGGCAAGGGCATGGACGCGAGCTGCCCCTTCTGCAAAGGGGTCCCCTCCCTGCGCCCCCCCGGGGGGTGGGACGGCGTTTCCTTCCCCCTCTCCTGAATAGCAGCAGGACTGTCCCTCCTTCCAGAACCAGCCTGTGACTGCCAGGACGCCTTCCCCACCCCGGCTAATTAGAGCCTTTTCTTTAAGCAGCACTTTAGTCTCGTGTCACTCACTCTCACAGCGATAATGGACTCAGACAAGAGGTCACAGCTTCTCCCACATCCTGCTCTCCTCGCAGAGGGGGGCGGGGGCGGGCCGGGGCCCCCCTCTGCGCAGCTCTTGCCTGCCTGTCATGGGGGACGGCCCCAGGCTCGGCTCAGCAGCTGTGATGGAGTGATGGAGTCACCCAGATCACAGGGTCGCAGGGCCGGAGCCTGGTCCCCAGGGTGGGCCCCTGTCCCCATGCTCGCTCGCTCGCTCCCTCTCAGGCTGCGGCTCCCAAGCTGTCTGCTGCATCACCGGTGAGTGTCATTAGCGCGAGCATGCTAAAACGGCAGTGTAAATGTTAATAAGGCCCGGCGCTTCCGAGTGGCAGATTGGAAATGGTACCATCATCTGAACTCCAGCGAGCAGTCTTTAATTCCTCCGCTCCCTGAGCAGCCAATTTGGCATGGAGATCCTAACCTGCTCTCCTTCCCAGCCTCCCTGTGCCACGTGTCCCCAGAACCGC